GAGACCTCATCCTGATGTTCAAGATAATAAACACCCCTAATCACCCTTTAAAACATTTGTTCACAGTTAATTTGGCCCGACAGACCCGACGGAATCCATTGGCCGTTGACATTCCATGTTCCCGCATTAACTGTCGGCGCTACTTTTTTTCAGTCCGCGTATCCCTCACGTGGAACAAACTACCAACATCTGTTGTGGATTGTGGTAACCTCGAGACTTTCAAACATTCGCTTGACGAATACATAAGATCTCACCCAACTTCCCTCATCAACATTTGAGATGCAGATTACAAACAATAGAACATATATGTCATATCATTCCGTTTATCTGTATACATACACACACACCAATATCCTTTGGTCATTGTAAAGCAAAATGCTTTTTAGACTAATATAACCTTGATTTACCTTGATTTACCTTGATTTATCGTGGTGGTGTTTGGGAGCGTATAATCAGGTCGGTAGGACGTATAATTTTATGTCTATGTAGGGAGTAATGTTTGACCGTTGAACAACTGAACATGTTTCTTATACAGGCCGAATGGATACTCAATAACCGGCCTATAGTCCCGCTATCATCGGAAAACAACGATTTGGAGCCGTTTACTCCAAACAGTTTGTTGCTGATGCAGTGTTGTCCTGCGGTACCCGGTCGCGACGGTTTGGCTTCGCAATATCATGCCGTTTAGAAACATGTCAACTATCTCGCTGGCGTATTCTGGAGTCGTTGGATAAGGGAATATCTGCCAACGTTGCAGATGCGTACCAAGTGGCTCAGAGTAAATCAAGATTTGAAACGAGGGGACTTGGTTCTGGTTTCTGGTGAGGACCTGCCTCGTGAAAAATGGGCTCTAAGGGCAGTTGATAGTTGCAAGGCGAGCCCAGGTGGCTTAGTAAGAACCCTGCATGTTAGAACGGTGGGTGGCTTTCTTAAGAATGATTAAAAAGGTGTGTTTACTGGAGGGACGCAACTAGGCTTGCACTCCATTGAAGTTGGCACTTGTGGCAGGAGTGTACTCGGACCATTCGTGTCGGTGGCTGATGGAGTACCTTAGAATGGAGCTGAGCGTAGGTACAAGGCAAGAACCGGGCCTTCCGCGGAATCAACGGGGGGAATTTGGCGGGCGGTGTATCATCCTCTATGTTGACAATGCAATTCCCCACGTTTATTCTGTCCCCATTTGTAACTTTGCACGTGTGACTGTCGCACGTGGGAGCCTGTTTACTCCCTTGCTTTGTACCTTTGTGGTCCAAGCGGACTGTTTGTTTTGGACGCGTATCTACTGTCGAGGTTTGTATAAATTGTGAATTTCTCTTACCCTAATAGTACCGTATAGAAACCCAGCTCCGACTTTGCCTTGCCTACCCGGAGGTCCTGGTATTACGCGTCACTCGAAGATACCGTTCGACCGTTACAGGTGTAATTCTGTCAAAATTCCGGCTCTGATCCCGAACGCAGTACTTTTTCTGTCACCTCAGCCCATCCTTGATTCAAATGTCATGGTAGATTTTCTGCCATACGCTTGATATTGGTTGATCAGTTCAAGTCCGCTCTGTAATGCATTTGTCAGTGTCAGATCACAATTCACCAATTTCCTCAGAATTTGTAAGGCGTAGGCGTTTTGTGGAGCAATGGGCCCTTCAATCAATAGTTAAATAATAATAAATAATAATAATAATGTATATTCCCAACTTGTGGGTGGCATACCGTCTGGCATGATCATGCATTTACAGCCATGCTGGGGTATGACAGGATGATTTACGGGTAGTGAGGATTGCATGAAAAGGGGAAAATGTCATAAACAGTGGGAAGTACCCAAATAAATAATAATAACGTTTCTTTTGCAACTTGTGGGGAACAATAGTCATGTGGCCGGACTAATTCAAAGACTCACTCGGTTAGTATGAACTAAAATTGGAAAACCATTTCTGGCCATGTGACCTTGGGCGGTTGAGTAAATTGCCGGATTCTCAACTAGCAAAAGTGGGGCATGTGATTCATGCACAAGCCAGCATTTTGATTGGTTAGTTATGCACAAGCCAGGAAGCGCGCGCGTTCAAATTGCATTTGTGCACAAACCAAGAAAAAATGATTTAAATGGTTGAAGCGCATAAACCAAGGAACAATGGACTGTCAGTGCAAGCGAGAAAATAGCATAGAACAACTTTAATAAATTATTGCAGGATACCTCTGCTTCTCCGCGTGAAATACGTGACATAGGATGTTTATAAAAAAATCCTAATATCACAGAATGTATCCGCAAACCTTAACGTATCCGTCGAACTGCGTTTCTCCACACAACCTTTTTCTGACTACTCACATCATTCCTTCCAATTAAAGCTTGGGTGGAACTCCACATTTGTGCTTTCGGAAATCTCGATTCACACTTAATTATAGTCATGGATATAATTATAGTCATGGATATGCAACCATAGTCAAGACCTCGCACTCAGAATGTTAGATTGCTTTCATCTTGGCGAATCATATTTTGGTGCTATATATGACACAGCAAAAGCAGTAGCATCCTACGAAGTGACATGTTGACCGGGGAAGTCGAAAAGTTTTGAGTGAAGTCGCCCGAACTTGAACCGCGAACCATCAGGGCCGCTCCCAAACTCATCCAGCTTGGCCACAAAGTCACGGGCGGCCCTTGGTGGAAATTCCTCTTGAGCAGCTGAGCCTCGTGTGCAGTGGTTGTATGTTTCGGTATGGATCACGTGACTAGGACCAGCCAATAATTTGCTTCAGTTTGGCTTGTGCATGAACCGACTTCCCAGAATTGGAGGTGGAGATGGGATAATTCGAATTGGGAGACCATGGCAAGTTTAGTCTCAAAAATATGGTTCAATCTGAGAACAGGCAGACTCACTGGTTGCACTGTTGTAGGGAAGTCAGGTGCAGGAGTTTGTTTGGATGGGGTCACAGGTGGTTGAATTCGAATGAGTAGTCAAACAGGTTGGAATGAATGTAATGGTGGCAGTTGGGGTCAGTGAAACGAGTAGGCAAAAGGGCTTGTTTAGGAGGAGGAATGTAACAGCTGCAGGTGTGATATCAAAGTGAGTATGGCAGTGCCGTGCCATCATGGGCTTGACATGCTTCAGTTTTCGGACAGCCCCGTGACGGACGTCACATTTGAGATGATTCGGCTGGGGAGCACAGCTCATTGGGCAGCGGTATTCATTTCAGCCTGGTCGAGGAAACAAGCTGGAACAAAACCGATATGGGATTGTAGGTTGTCTTGGTCCGCTTGGTGATCCCAAAGTTGTAGATCATAGGCCAGGTGAAGTGGAGATCAGCTAACCAGGTCGTTCAAAACGGGCACTTCCGAAGTTCAAATCTTGGGAAGGTGAGGGGATGGGAGGAGATTCGCAAAACGTAGTGAGTTTGAGGGGATATAAAATGGGATAGTATGCATTAATATACACAGAAAGAAAACCTTGGCGTCTGCTGAAACTAGGGCGATAACAAGTGATTACATGGAGGAGGAAATAGATAGATTTGTACTTAGTAGGCTAGCGAACAGGGGCTGAGTTTGCTAACATACGATATTATAGTATGCATTAATATACACAGAAAGAAAAACTTGGCGTCTGCTGAAACTAGGGCGATAACAAGTGATTACATGGAGGAGGAAATAGATAGATTTGTACTTAGTAGGCTAGCGAACAGGGGCTGAGTTTGCTAACGTACGATATTATGTTACAAGGGATCTAGTGAAAGCCGATATAAGCGCGCAGGAGCGTTATATGGGAATCGTCCATGAAAAACTGTGCAAAGTCTTGTCGCTTGCCGAACTCCCTCCTGAGAATATCTATAGCCTTTTGAAGGCCTACCTTTCCAGGAAGCAACACACAATGTTCAGTGGCCACCTTGTCTTCTCCACAGCAATAGTGGAGAAAATACATTAGTTTATTGCTATCATCGAAAGGCCGATTAGCTACGCAAATTTGTAATACTCTCATGAACTTCCAGAATTATGTCGGATTCCCGCGAAACTTATCTACCTCTGTTTTTAGTGGGTTAAACGCTGGCGCTGTAACATAGTGGTCAACATGTATGCCGCTCATTCCATGCGCCGCTTTACGGTTACGGGAGGCGTCGCTCATTCTAGACCAATTCGTAGATGGCCACGTGCATCCTGTTTCCTCTGAGCTGAATCTTAGCACAAATTTCTCGACCCTCCGTCCACTGGATGGTGATTTCTGCTTTCTAATCTCTAGCACCTTCAACTCTTTCGCCAGTATCTCATTCTCTGACCCACCTCTCTGTCTACGCGAAAGTATTTCTTTCTTCGGCCTTGTCATTAAACGTAACGTTAAGAATAAGAGGTGGGATTCGCAATCTTGTGGCCAACCCGCCTCAAGTTGGTGTGAACTTTTCAATTCCATTAGAAACTAGCAGCTCCTAAACTGATGTATAGAAGCTAAGCAGTTCAACAATTCAGGGTTCGCACAATTTCGTTTTTGCATTCATAGTACCGCATTTGTTGAAATACCAACATTTGAACGATTTGAATTTTTCGGTTCTGCGCGTAAATAAATGTGGGTCCGTTGATTGTCTGAAACAATCTGTAGCCTTATCATTTTGCTTTCCGTGCAAACGGGAATTTTCCACGGCCAGCAAATATTATTTCCTTTTCCCTTAGGCCAATCGGCCTCCTCATCGAAGCAGTTGTCCCTCATGCCCATGTTCTAGGGTTTTTCGTTTTAAAAAATCTTCGATTATAAATCACGTATTAAACGCCTCCCCTCGGTTTTACATTCTTCCAAGTTGTGCAGTTTCCTGCTGTGCTTAGGTTGTGGGGGCTATATTATCTAGCAAATGGTGTGTACCTTACAACTTGGGGAAGAGAGACATGTCATCCTGCCAATCGAACATCCCATCCAACATAGCCATTTTGTCCGCGTAAACTGGAATAGGATTGCCTACGTGATGGTAATAGAGGCACTCACAGGTCGCTCCACATAATTGGGGCATCATTAGTGGGCGAGGAAAACCGATCACTGCAGGCCGCCAAAGCTGTGGAAACTATGTTTCGTATATCGACCGCGAAGGACAACACGCAGCTTTGCAAAATATCTGCGCTCCCTGCTCTGGAAATGTTCGCAGACGTTCACATCTAAGTCAAAGGGTAGTGGAGGGACAATTGCCTCGCGAAAATCCCATGAGATATTTTGAGCAAACCTTGGTTTAGAAGACCCGCCTTTAGTGACAACCTGTGCCAACACCCTCGCCTCAGCACCGGTAACTAACAGTTGAACATCGTTCGGTGGCAGCGGGCGCCTATTGGATCCAACCAATCGAACCTTTGACTGCATATGGTACGCAGTGGCGAGGGCTTTATGGTGACGGGAACAACCAAGGGCCCCAAAATGTGTGTGAGCACTTCTTTGGCAGTCCAAATTGCAGCTTGTTGCTATCGCTGAAACTCGGGCACGATTGCGCGCGGTGGATCAACTCAAAACTTCCACTGTTGGTTACGGTGACCCCTTCCTGGGCGGGTGGCCTAAACTAAAGTTTTCACTTAATGTCCTCATTAGCAGATCCGACCCTGTTGGTTTTTCCACTAACACGGTTGACGTATTCGGTCGAGCATGTTTCGTCCAGGTGCTCAGGTCTGGGATCCAATACAGGCAGGGCCAGTATTCCTGGTTGCAGCTTCTGAAACTAGTGGCACAGACCTCAAACTCACCCGCTTTCCCACAGTGCACCGTTCGCTTGATCCAAGTAAACAAATCTCCCTTATCCGGGGGACTGGCTTCCCTTACCTTGCTATTCCTGGCCTCGAAATTTTGTAACACAACATTGGGTATCGGAGCCTTCAGGCTGCTTAACCGTGACCTAGTCTTATTTATTACAATCGTTCTACCAACAGTCACCGGCAAAAGCATTCGTGAAAGCTGTTCAACTTCTACACCATAATATTCTTGTGACTCATTGCGGATGAAGGAGTGAAAACCACTACGACCAACGTCATTGCAACCGGTGGTTACCACATGCTACAGGTGGCAACCACTTCTATTACACTGAGTCAGCCTGCACAACAATCCCGTATTTTGCAAGCAAACAACCCGGTTACACCGAGGTAAACGATAAGATATTCAAACTGCCATCGTCAAAAATGGGCACAGCTATGGGGCGTAACTTGCGAAACAACACTGGGATACTCTGTGGATCAAAAACAAGTTTGTCTGAAAGGCGCGGTTTATCGCTGAGGCTCCGAACATCATCACCTGTTTAGTCAATCACATAGTTTTTCCGGGCATAGACACGGGTTTCCATGGACGCCTCAAAACAACTCTACAAACAAGAACCACGCTTTCCTGTTACTCATGTGGATGCCGATTGCCAGTCGGAACTTCGCAAGTCGTGCAAATGTTGCATGTCAAAACTACCCATCACAGAGTGACAGTCTGCGTGAAGCACACTTAAGAAATACCTGCAGTCGAAGTTGGCGTACCCGAACAAAAGTGTTCTGGGTGATTATTAGGCCAATTACCAACATAACGACGACCGCTGGAGCGCTAATAATAGCAACCCAGTTTGAACGGGCATGCACGCATGTGTAGACCACGAACGCATAGAAGATAGATTGAAAGGCCTTGCATCGAACTTCTGTTTGCATTTCGATGCCGATTGACTGTCAACAGACTTAACTCGTCCTTGTTCTGTGCTCAACTTTACGCAGTTTCGACCCAAATTCCATGAAAAAACGACACCCACAATGGGAGACGTATCCTAGCACACGCCTTGTCGTGTTACATTTGTCCAACGGTGCGTCCCGTGCATCTAGAAGACATTAAATTACAACAAAAGCTCACTTGACAACATTTAACTGTACGACTTGTTTGGCTTCGGCATAATGGGCGCCGTGGCCAATGATTCGCCAGTCGTGCTCAACATTGCTTCGCAAAAACCCGGACCACAAGGGAAACCAACGACAAGTGAAAACTTTTGGCTTCCCACCGGCTTTTATTCTATCCCGACATGGCCTTGAAACGCTTGGAGCACGGTTCAGACCGCAAGTCGCTAACTCTGAGAGGGCACTTTGTCTCCCGAGCTAATGGTATATGGTGACATTCCGTAAATTCGGTGACTTCAGTTTGCAAGCAGAGTCAGTGGCGGGTTATTTCGGTGGATGAAGTGTTGCTACTGTGTGCGTGCACCAACGTCTGGATGGTTATGAATAATCAAGGCATACAGGTCTCAGAGTGAAGTACTCAATCAAGATATATTTCAGTCGTGCGGAAGTAGGGCGACTGCAACAAGCTATTGATAGAAATAAACCCATGGGATGGACCAAAAGTCCCTACGCTCAGAGAGCTATCCTGCATCAGTGCAAAATATTGAACACACAAAACTGGTCATAGGAAACGAAAGATAGTAAAAAACTGCTTATGAGGATAACCAGACCACCTAATACCGACAATTGCTGAAACCCAAAGTGACAAAATTCTGGTGCAGCATTCACGGATTGATACACAGGATCGAAGCATTTGCCCAAGTTTGCCGGGTCGCCTTTGTTATTGTCGGTGAGTAGCTCTCGTTCACCTGAATGGCGCAAGTGAAAAAAGGGTGTAGCACTGCTGTTTATGTTCTCAGCGCGGAGCAGTATGCTCACCAGCGCGAGGTTTCGCATAAA